GAGCAATGCTAGGACGGGGCTGTGAATCTGAATGAACATTTCATGCCAGAACAGACAGTGAGTGTTATCTTGTTGATTTCTGCAGCAGTAACAGTACATTTCCAACCTTCCTGTTTAGATCCAGCAACAATGCAACTTTACAAAACAACCACAGTTTGAGCATTAAAGCTTTAGAGTTACACGAGTCTGTTGAAAGCATTATTGTTTTCTGTAACCTTTGCCTCTGGCCTTCCCTTTTGCTGTTTCAGCATTGCACTCTCTCTACCTGTTTGTACTCGATGTTAGTGCATCTCCTCTTCTGGAACATAGGTTATGATCTGCAAATAGCTTGAAGGGACACTACAGTACATTCCTTTCTTGCACTGTTTTAACGCAGTCAGTCAGAACATTTTACAGTCAAAAATCAGGAAAGACTATTAGATTTCTGTTCTCTTATGTTGCTTAATTCACCCAGTCTGGAATTCTATAGCTTTGTGAATGCTAGGTGTATTTAAACTCTGCTTAGCAGATAATTCAAAATCTGTATCTCTTTAATTAGATAAGTTGAAATGCATTTCTGGCAAAATTATATTATAAATCAGACCAAAAGAAATTGAGACTTTCATGATCAGCTCTGAACTAATAGTAAACACATCATAAATATTTTAAGTGTGCATCACTAGTGATGCTGCATTATGTCCAAAGAATAACCATTCTTCTGTGGTGACTGATAAAACAGAATTGTGCTAACATGTTACTCTATGAATAAAGGCAATGTCTACAGTTCTCGGATTGAAATTCTGACAGGGGAAAGTCTCCGTCAGAAAGCTATGACTGCACTTTCTGCAAGATCACAACATCAATCTGTCTTGGCTACACTGAAGTCCCCGTGAGATTAGCATCAGTGTGGTAGTGTGCCTCTGCACACATAATGCTACGAAATGCCCCTGACTCACCTCATGTTGAATTCCAGAGATTCAGCATTCTTCTGAAGGATCAGCCGATTACCCTGTGCCCCCACACTCAAGCGGGGAACGATGGGAAAGGTTCCTGAACAGGAGATGTCAGGCTTATAGGAGGCCTGTTCAAAATGCTGACTTGTCTGCTTGGTCTGGAAAGACACAGTGGAGAGGAGGGATTTGGATCATTTTACCTTGCTGTATTCTCCAATAGCAACCCAGAGTTGTGGTAATTTGTTCCTTGCCTGGCTAGACAGTGTCAAATGGTACTGGGACACCTCATGAGGTGAGAGACTTCAGTAATTAAATTCCAAGCAATAATCTGCAGTTACTGTTGCAAACTGCCTTTAATCCATATTACTGGACTGGTCTCAATTTATCCAATAAAATCTAACAAAGGAGCTCTAGGCTACCAGAATGCCACTGCTTGTAATGTGCAGTCCCATTTCACCAGACACTCTCACAACTCTGTCCAGAATCTCTGTTCTCTATCTGTCCCTTCAAATGGAACATGTTAGTTTCTCCATTACTTTAACAGAAGATGACCAGTTATTGATTCTATAATTTCATATTAAATTGGTGTAATCAATACCAACTTCTGACCTGTAAACAAATTTTAAAAATTCAATTGTTTTGTAGATCCATTTTTGAGAGGAATGGCTGTGTTTGGTTAATGCTAGGCTGAGGGGACAGAGCTCATAATATAAGGGGAGTCCGGGAGTCCTGTATTCCAGCAGAGTTGAAGCATTCCCAGTTGTCTTCCAAAAAAGCTTATCCTCTCATAAAAGGCTATTTTGATTCTTTTAAAAAATGAATGGTACCACCTTGATGATTGTCCCTTAAAATTTATTTCACAAGCTGTACATTGTAATAAGCATTTTACACCTAGTCTGTATATGGTTCCTCAAAGTCCCACAATTGCATGTACAACAATATTGTATCATATTAGCTCAAATGCCATATTCATTAAACAGCTAATATACAGCACTGGTTATTGCTAAGACACAGCAGTTTAAAACCTATACAGGTGGATGTCAGTCAGCTGGGCAGTTAGTTTGCAATGCAGAGTGATGCCAACAACGTGGGTTCAATCCTCACACCATCTTAGGTCACCATAAAGGATTCTCCTTTGCAACCTCTCCCCTCTGAGAGGTCTGGTGAAACCACCACCAGCTGTTTCTCTCTAACGACTAAGCAGTAAGGACGATGGCAACTTTACCTTTATATATAAAAAGAAATTCATTCATTGGGCTTTCTGACCTTTGGTTGGAAGGATTTTCAATTTACTGCCAACCCAAATCAGCAACAACCTTCAAATCAGCGAAAAACAACTGTCTAGCAGATATTTTCTGACCCGCTGTGCTTTTCCAGCTCCACATGTATTGATTGTAGCTTCCAGCAACTGCAGTCCTTACTGTCTCCAAGTCGCTGAAAACCATACTGCAAAGTCTCTTCTAAGGATGCCCACCTTAAAGAAGTTTTCCTCCTCTCCTCTGAAGAGCGCTCAGTGAGTCTCTCTCCCACTGCAACCCCCTGGTTATCTCCTCTGCCTTGAAGCTGTTCAACCATGTTCTGAAGCAATCTTGCTACTACTGGCACTTCTCCTTCCTCAGTGCCTGTCTACGCAGCTTCACCAACTTCAAAATCTCTTCACCCCTCCACCCACCCACCCCGCCCCCCAAACCTGTCCAACTTCCGACTCACCTATCTGCTCCACCCTTCCCTCTGACCAACCACAATAAACCCCCATCTCCATCCACCTTCTCTCCCCTCAGCCCCATCCGCCTCCATTTATTTCTAGGCTCCCCTCCCCAGTCCTGCTGAAGGGTTTTGGCCTGTAACATTGACTTTCTGCTCCTCGGGTGCTCTCTGACCTGCTGTGCTTTTCCAAGTCCACATTTATTGATTTCAGGATGTGCCTTTTTGACAATTATCATGTTAAGGCCATAAAAGGTAGAGATTACTTGAAACAAGTTCCTCTTTAACTGGTTTCCCTTTTATCAAAGGCATAATAATAGGCACTATTGTTATTGTTATTGTTTAATAGGCTGGTGATGAATGTGATGTGACATTCATTATTATAAAACAGCATTCTGTCAGATCAGAATTATGTCTTGTTTAATGTTATAGGGATCCTTATTACATTATGACTTATGAGACTGCCACTTTAAATTGGTTACTGTAAATTTGATTGATCAGCAGTGGAAGAAAAGCCACCAGATATTAAAGACACTTACATCAGCTCCCTTCTCTAAATGATGGGAGTCATAAATGAAATGGTGTAATATAGTGGATTCTGCAGTATTTAACCTTCTGTGTGTTGTTTTGTTTTTACTTTGAATGTATCACAGTTATTATCCTTCTGTTCCCCACAGCAGGAATACAAAACCCTGCATCATGTCTACTTACAGTTAACTGGGTGTTCTGCCTGACACCCAGGCAATACACTACCAGATATTGTATCTGTAAAAAGGTCAAACTAGTACTGAGGTGGATGAAAGGAAAGCAGAAATTTCTGGAAGCCCAGTCAGGTAATAGCTGTGGGAGAAGGACCTGAAATTTTATTTCTCTGTTCCTTATTATCACTAGGGAAAAAGTGTAGAATTTTTAAAAATAAAATCACATGTCCAATATTGTGCTCAATTTCTACAGATATTCCAAGCAAAATTACCTCCAGTTCCTTGGTGTGATCTTGCTGTGCAAAAGGGAGCCATCATAATTCGCCACATGACAGTGACCTCCAAAAATCCCAGTTTCTTTGTCAAGTGCTTCTCAATAATGTTCAACTTTATGACCTAAAGAGACAGACTTGCATTTATGTATCTCCTTTCACAGTCTCAAGACGTCCCAAAGAGCTTTACAGTCGATGAAGTGTTTTAGGCTGTGGGTCACTTTTGCAATGCAGAAAGCTCCCTCAATGTGATAGTGACCAGGCAATCTGTTTTTGAGATGTTGATTAGGGATAATTCTCCTGCTCTTCTTCAAATTAACACCAAGGGATATTTCACATCCACCCATGGTGAACAGAGAAGGCCACAGTTTAACATCATTCAAAATACAGGCCCTCCAGCAGTGCAGCACTCCCTAGGTACTGCACTGAAGTGTCAGTAGATCCTTGCAATTGGGCACTAGACTTTAAATGGTCAGGAATTCTTCCTTCCAAGACCTAACTTCTATCTGAAGGTCCCAGTGCTGCAAGTCTTCAAACCAAAAGTGCAGCAGGGTTTAGACTCCAGGTAGATGCTTAAACTTGGATAGTTCTGATAGAATTCTGATGGTACCATCACATAACTAGCCCAACTACAACCACCTCACCCATACCATCACTGGGCACCTAACATCTCCCTCCACACGACATCCCACTTCCCAGCACAAAAGGTCCAAAAGATATTTATGTGAAGCGATGTACTAGTGACTTCAAAGTCAATTTTGATGGAGGTAATTCAGCAATCCTGAGTACTAAGTTGGCCTGAATGGATCTAACGTTCTGATATTATCCAAAGAATAACACGTCATAGGGTCACCCACACTCTTAGGTCTAACTAGTCCACGTCGAGCAAACATCCCAATCTGATCAAGCCCATTTGCCAGCATTTGGCCCATATCCCTCTGAACCTTTCCTTTCACGTACCCATCCAGATGTGTCTGAAACGTTGATCTTTTCTTTCTCTTTAATATACTTCTGTGCTTTCATCGAATTTTCCACCTTATCATAGGGCAGACTGGCACTGAACAACACAGAGTTTAAATTGTGGTCAGGCTCCAGAAAAACAATTGTTCTTCTGTCATGACATTGATAGAAATGATCACATTATCGTAGAATAACCTTGGTGGTGATTAGTTTTTAAATATGCATAATGCATAGCAATGTGTTTTTACTTTCAATAGTCAAAACATCCATTGTTAGTACACAGAAGATAAACTCTATTCAAAAAAGGTGTCGTCAACAGAGCTGGAGAAGATAGGATTGGTTATTTATTGTTGTACAATTGAGCTACAGCACAAGGTGTAGGATCAACAGATCTAGCGCAGAAAGGCAGATCAAAATAGACAAACAGACAATACTTTATACAAAAAAAAGTTTATTTTTTTTTTTAAAGTTGTACATTATTGATAGACCTCTTCCTACATCGCAATTTTCATCAAAGAAAAAAGGAATTACAAGCAGTTCTGCAGATAAATTTAAATTTCATTTAGTGTTCTCACACTGCCTGGATTACCTTTGTTCAGCTTTACAGACACTCTCAAGCATAGACCATTCAATACATCATTTAGACAATGTGCTTAAAAAGACAAAAGTTTCTACAAGTCCCACACTGGTCTGAGTGATCTACAGCTGCCCAGAAATACAATCAAAAGTTGCTCACAGGGTAAAGGGGAGGAGAAAATGTGCACATTACAGTATAGTGAGGTTGACCTCACCAACAGAAACTGTGCTGGCATGTGGAAGAGTGAACACCCGGAATTTAAAAAAAAAGCCCCATGAGAAATGTACACCACTGTGAAATATCTAAGCACTTACTGCATAAGCAAATAATCTCTCTCAACTGCAATAGATCCACAAATTAAACCAATCTTTCGTGAGTCCCTGTTATAGAATGAGGGCTCAATTCTCTTGTAGAATCACAACGCAAAACAGCAGCGCATTTTATGTTTCACTGACTATACTCAGACCACACATGATATTTAAACAGGCAAGCACTCTCTGCTGGTTTCAACTCATCTTTCAGGTAGATCTCATAAAAGGTAGTACACATGACGCAACAATAACGCAGCAGTGCAAATCGGATCATTAGATCTACAGTTTACTTCTTGTTCAAATGAACTTTCACTGTGATCGTCCCAAGTTCATAGCAGCAGCTTACAGTGGGAGGAGGAGAGATTCGGAGACTGTTTGAAGTTTGTACAATAATCCACAAACCAAGCAAAACTCTCTCCATTCCAAAGTCCTGTCCACTTCAATATCAGAAATGTTAATATCTGCCTGTGTGTCCCACTGAAAGGACTCTGATAAAAACATTAAAGACAAAATAATTAGAATTAAATTTTAGAAATACATCTATATTTAAAAATAAATACAAAGAAATTAATTCCACTATTAAAAGCTGTAGAAAGCCCAGCAACTTTTAATGGATTTACAGTATTCTGAATCACTGGTTTATCTGAGGGCCTTGTGGGATACAGAACAATTGACGTTCAATCCATTTACAGTGGATTTAGCGGTGTCTACACGTTAATATTTTCCATCAGATTTATTATCCTTTGGGAGCCTTTAAATCCTTTTGTTTTTGAAAACAGCGGTACAGATTAGTCCCTCAAATTGTGTTAAATGCCCCAAAAAGGAGTTAGGTTCCTGGTTTCCTTTTCATAAATGTCAGGGATTACCCCGATAGGAGACTGCACCATTTTAACACTGTTCTTGCCAAATAGTTTCCGTTCGTATTCTATCAGTTGCCTCCAGAAGCCCACGTTGGGCCGGATGATGGGGCGACGAGATTTGACCCAGTTATGAGCCTCAAGGAGGGAGATCTTATGGAACTTCATCAGGTAGGCAATGCAGAGGGAGGCTGATCTGCTCACGCCCGCAACACAATGGACCAAAGCCGAGCCATGCTTTTTACTGACGCTGTGGATTTTATCGGCGATGCTGTCAAAATACAGAGAGATGGGGGCATGCGGCAGGTCAGCGACAGGCACTTTGACGTACTCCACCTCAGGCCAGTTGGCATTGGGGATCTCCATGGTTGCATTAATGATGCAGGTAATGCCCTTCGACAGGACCAGGTTGCGATTGGTGGCTGCGTTGCCACTGCAGAGGTAGAGGCATGGGGTAATTTGAGCGATCCCACCCAGGACTCCCCCAGTTACCAGCCGGGGCTTGGAAGAGGGACCTGGTGGGGTCCGGTGGAAGAAGCTTTGGCTCCGGGAACTCATCGGAACGTTGCCTCAACAGGTAGGTGCGGTAGAATACTGGAGAGGCCTCAATACTTCTCCACTGGAGTTAAGCTTCTGGCCAGTTGGCTGTCCTTCCACTCATGTTATTGGTCCTGAAAAATAGAGTTTTTTTTTTAAAAGAAATGTTATTACATCAAATCATTTGTGTGGCCAACAACTCAAACCAATAAACAGAAAAAGGCCATCTATTCACCAATAGATTTCTATAAAACCATCCAGCAGAAAAGGTAAGATAAGATCCTCTCAGTACAATTCTCACAATTGCCTCTGGGAAAGTCACTTTACCTCACATACGCCTGCCCTCAAAATAATTCTCACGTGTGAGCAATGGAACAAACTTTGGGAAGAGTTCATTTGGATCAGGAAAGCAAGACTGCTTTTGGTGAAGTGCATCTGAAATCTGAAGTGCAAAGGGACTTGGGAGTTCTAGTCCAGGATTCTCTCAAGGTAAACTTGCAGGTTGAGTCAGTAGTCAGGAAGGCAAATACAATGTTGGCATTTATTTAGAAAAAGATGTACTTCTGAGGCTTTATAAGCCACTGGGTCAAACCACATTTAGAGTTTTGTGAGCAATTTTGGGCTCCATATCTCAGGAAGGATGTATTGACCCTGAAGGAGGTTCATGAGAATGATCTCAGCAATGAAAGGCTTAACACGTGGGAAACATTTGAGGACTCAAACTATACTCATTGGAGTTTAGAAGGATGAGGGGGGATCTAATTGAAAATTACAGAATACTGAATGGCCTGGACAAAGTGGACATTGGAAAGGTGGTGTTTCCATTAGCAGGCGAGACTAGGACCTGAAGGCACAGCTTTAGAGTGAAGGGAAGACCTTTTAGAACTCAGCTGAGGAGAAACTTTTTCAGCCAGAGAGTGTGGTGGATTTGTAGAATTCATTGCCACAGAAGGCTGCAGAGGCCAGGTCATCGAGTTTATTTTAAGACAGAGATAGATAGGTTCTTGAATGTCAAAGGGATCAAGGGTTACAGGGAGAAAGCAGGAGAGTTTGGTTGAAAAACTTATCAGCCAGGGTTGAATGGCGGAGCAGATTCGATGAGCTGAATGGCCCAATTTCAGCTTATGGTGTAAGGGGAGAATTAGGACTACGTAAATACTGGCATTCCTCTAGGTGAGACAGGACTTTGATATGGGAAGGCTGATGAGTAGGAAGGCCTTATTGCCTTTCTTCCCATTAAAGGCTTCAATCCACAAAGCATTCACTTCCCTCCAGAAACCATTGACCTTTCTCCCCACGCGTTTCTGAAGCCCTCGCAGTTCTTGGCCATGAGAGTTCGGAGGGCCATTGAGAAATCCCCAGAAGAGGCCAGGACCAGTCCCAGTCAAACTCCCTTGACCTGCCATCTTCCTACAGGAATTCCTGCATATGCAGTCAAAAATCCCAGCTGAAAACCAGCCTCCATATCCTAACCTCCATCCCTTGTACCACTGGAGAAGATATTTCGGGGATTTATGAATGAGAATGGGTCGGACAGAGATTGCAGGAGTGCCTCGCCTCCCTGAGCCTGAACTGTGTCTTGAAAGTTGTGTGCGGCCTTTTTTCCTACCGTTGTTCTCTTGAGAAACCGTTGCATTAAAATGATTTGTGCTCCAAGCAGAAGTATCATTTGTGGTTGTTTGCCAAGCTGCTAAAAATCTGTGGACTGAAACAGAACAGCTTTGTCTACAAAGATAGAAGCAGAGAGAGGAAGACCAGAGTGGATACATAAAATCTGAAGTAGCAGCAATAGCGAGAGAGAGAGAGACACACAAAGACAGACAAGTGTCAGAAAGTAGCGATGGAGTCGGGGTGGGGCAGAAGGAAGATCAGAGAAAGAAAGGGGCCAGAGATATGTTTTTAAAAAACGAGAATTTAAAGGAGAAGCCTTGCAGTGTCTGCAATATTTCATCCACATTCTTTACCCACCCCTGCATTTTGTTTTAATTAGTTTGAGAGATGTGGGTGTCACTGGCTGGGTCAGCATTTATTGTCTGTCCCTAATTGTCAGAGAGAAGGTGGAGATGAGCTGCTTTCTTGAACCACTGCAAACCTGTCATGTAAATACAATTTCTAGGGAAACAATTCTGCAATAATCTCTACTTTTAAAAAAAGTACAGAAAGCAATTTGTATTAGTAAACTCTCTCAAACACAAGAAGGAAGTGTCGCTATGATGCTAATAAAAAAAAGAGGAAGGCTTACAAAACACTGGTTGGGTTAGTTACAGATCAGAAAACAGACTAACACATTAGGTGCTTAGCAACAGGCCACACTGGACTCAGGTCCAGTTCATTGTTCAAAATCAAAAATCGGCTTTTAATTATATGTGTGTATTCTTGACCGAAATCATTTTTATGAAGAGAACTGACTTATGAGGGAGAGAAAGAATAGTGTACAAGTAGGTTGGTCTGATTGGTTGAGAGCAAGGGAACGGGCTGGGAATTAGTGTATGCGTCTGCTCTGCAGGTAAAATGGTCACAACATATAAATGAAGAGTGGGACGAATCCAGCACCCCGAATCTGAGCAGCTGTTGATCTCACTGTTAAATATACAAGCTCGGAACTTAATGCCTGCTGAAGGGCCTTGTGGAGAAATGTAATGCTCTATGTAGCAGGGCCCTCTGGTCTTTTCCATATGATACCCTTAGTGACCACGAACATAAAACAAGTGGACTAAGCACTATTCCTGCATGTGGGAGGCAGGAGGTCCACAAGTGCTACTCTGACTCGGCGGGAGTCACAAAACAGCGTCCCCACCCTCCATGATCCAAATCTAATCTTTCTCACCGAGGCCCTAGGGCAAGTGGAATGACTGCAGGTAGAGTGGTGACGAGGGCCTGGCAGCTCATCAATCCTCAGGCCTCTTGGCTCAAACCAAAAATGGGGCCCCCAATCAAAATCTATTCACTGCATTCAGTAAAACAAACTTTTTCCTGCCTCAGTACCATCGCTTTGGAAAACTACAACAGATTATAAACATTACGAAGTACTTGGGGTGGCACGGTGGTTAGCACTGCTGCCTCACAGCGCCAGGAACCCGGGTTCAATTCCACCCTCGGGCGACTGTCTGTGCAGAGTTTGTACATTCTCCCTGTGTCTGTGTGGGTTTCCTCCCACAGTCCAAAGATGTGCAGGCTAGATGGATTGGCTGTACTAAATTTCCCATAGTGTTCAGGGATGTGTAGATTAGGTGGGTTTATAGGGGTATGGGTCTGGGTGGGATGCTCTGAGGGTCGGTGTGAACTTGTTGGGCCGAAAGGCCTGTTTCCACACTGTAGGGATTCTATGATCTTCTATAATTCTATGATCTATGATAACAAGCTTATTGAGCTCACCCAGTGTTCCACACACATATTCCACATGTGCCTCCTCTTCATCCAACTTTATTCAGGTTTTATTCTATTGTTTTCTCTCTCATGTTTGTATCTAGCATCTCCTCAATGGCTATTTGCCTTGGTGGAGGGCTCTATGTTCCCACCAGGCCGAGCTGTTTGGCTCAGCACCATTTGGAGCGTGCACTGCCATGGACTGAAGAAACTTTGACAATGAGGGGCATCACTGTGGTGATCTATATAGGAATGCTCACCAAGATGGCTGCCGATCGCTTCAGTGAAATGCCGGAGTGTGTGTGTGTGTGGGAGGAAGAATTTTCAAAGATATTGGCTTCCTGCAAAGCAGTACAGGAACGGGGAGATTGTACAGAAACAGTTTGTGTGGTTACCATAGTGACAGCACCTTTGCAAAACCATTTTGAGCAAAGAGCCTGGACCCACAAGCCTAGCAGAATCAGAGCACGCTGAACACGTACTGTGGTATGGTCATAATGTCGCTGGATTAATAATCCAGGGGTTCTGCTAATGCTCAGATTCAAACTCCACCACTGCCACTATAACTGGTGGAATCCAAACTCAAAAAGAATCTGCAAAGGAGAGCTACTTCCACTAAAATGGTGACCATGAATAAAAAAAACTGACCTGTTTAGGGAAGGAAATCTACCACCTTTAGAGACTCCAACCTACATTTGACTCCTGACCCATTGTGACTGACACTCGTGCCCCCTGAAATGGCTTAGCCAATCACCTCAGTTCAAGGGCAATTAGGGGTAGGCAACAAAATCCTAGCCTTGCCGGCAACATCCACATTCTACGAAACAACAACAAAAACAAAAACCAAGGGTATTCCCTTCATCCCATTATTCTTCAGTCATGCAGCATTTTCTCCTTGACTCCCACTTCCTTGTACTAACATTTCTTCAATAATTGAAACGACTTCATCTTAATTTGTATTGAAAGGGAGACCACATAAATCCCTGAGGACTATGTTGACAGGATCAGAAGGAAGGTGAGTTGCGAGAAGAATAATCACCAATGTATCCCAGGTAAGCCACGACAGATTCATTTACAATTCTGAACACTCTTTTAGGCCTTTCCATGAAAATAAATTCTGATTGCCTTCTTTACAGTCTGAAGAACTTCCCTCAAATTCCTAATAAAATTGGAAAAAAAAAATGTAGGCAGAGCACTGTGGATTGCTCAACAAAACGACATACGGGAGCAGTCCAAAAGCTTCATGCAAGCCAACCTTCCATCTATTGGCTCCATCTATATTTCTCACGGCCTCAGGAAAGCCAGCCAATATCAAAAACACCCCCTACCTCCCCGGTTATAATCTCTTCCAACCTCTTCTGTAGGGCAGAAGATACAAAGGCTTAATCACATGTACGAACATATTCAAGAACGGCTTCTTCCCTGCTGTTAAGACTTTTGAACGGACCTCTCAAATCTTAAATTCAATATTGGCCTTGCTCTTTATGCGCCTTCACTATAACATTGTATTCCTCAATAAAAGCCGAAAGAACTGCGGATGCTAAGTCAGAGAGAAAAATAGAAATTGCTGGAAAAGCTCAGCAGATCTGGCAGCACCTGTGGAGAGAAAACTCCAATTTCTCTCCATAGATGCCATCAGAGCAACTGAGCTTTTCCAGCAATCTCTATTTTTTTGTCTCTGACATTGTATTCCTTGCTCTGTTCTATTACCCTTACACGTGTTGTATGCTAGGATCTGCCCTCACTGCACACAAGACAAAACTGTTCACTCTTCCTAGGTACATGTGAC